GAGAAGAAAAGACATTTGCCAAATGACAAGGAGGTTTCTGGTTTGCCCACACATCCCACAGCTTCCACTCCCACCAGTACCTTGACGGGGCTGTCGTTATAGAGCCAGGCAAGGAAAGAGGTGGAATTCCAGTAGGAATCTGGAGCTTCCCAGTCTCCATCCGACCAGATCAGGTCTGGTTTGTATCTAAGGGAGAGAAATGGTGTTTCAAAAAGGTTTATCTGCTCCTGCCACACTGTGTTTCTTGGGTGTGGGGGTCATTCTGCTTTTCCTTCCCACTGCCTGGCATCACCAGGAGGTTTTTCCTTCATTTTCTGCTGCACACAAAGCTCTAAGGGAGGTTCTTCAGGCAGCAAAGAACAAGGTGTTGATCCACAGCTCAAGAGAGGGTGCAGTTCTTCCAAAAACCCCAGAATTTGGCACCTCAAAAGTGATTATGAGGGACATTCCTGAGCTGGGACATGAGCCACAAGCCCAAGTCTTTTATTTTTGTCAGCAAGGGGAAGCAAGGCAAGGATGCAAATTCACACTGAAAACAATTTTCTATTCTACTAAATACTAAACAGTTTGTTCCACCTCCAGCCACCCTGCACAAAAGCAGGATTAAAGGCAATTGCTTTTGCAGGAGAAATTTGTCCCTGCCTTATTCTACAGATTAGACCTTCCACAGGTCAAAAGTGAACCCCTTTTCTAATTGCCACAAATCATTACTGCTTAGCAAAGAGAATTTGGATTGGTAAAAATCAATATTTCTCTTTTTTGCACCCACTTTGCACCTTTCTCCACAGAATTGAAACCAGGAAATGCTGGTGATTCTGAACTGGGTGTGGCTCTTACTTTAAAACAAGGTCATAAAGTTCTGGCATCGTCTTCTTTAAAACGAAGCTCTGGGTCTTGAAGTCATTTTGTTTGTCAGCGAGGTAGAGAGGGTTAAACCACTCCATCAGCGAGTGGTACAACCCATAACGGAGGTTGCTGAAGGACAAAACACAGAGGGAAGAGTTAGGCTTCAGTGGGGATTAAGAAGCAGTGGAAATTAAACTACTGGCTTTATTACTTTCCATCATTTGCAAGCACTCAGTTTTTCACACTGAGCTCGGGGTTTTCTGCTGTTTGTCAAGCAGAGCAGGAGGATTCACTGCTCTCAAAGCAGAGCTCTCTGCCAGGGCCGTACCTCTCCCTGAGGGCTTCTCCCAGCTCTCCCACCAGGTCCCGGTGGGGCCCTGTATCCACAGAATTCCAGTTCCAGGACACTGGTGACCCCCAGTTGGTGAAGCCCTCATGGTGCTTGGTGGTCAGGACCACGTATCTGAGAGGAGAAAAGGTTGGGATGGCAAAGGAACAGCTGAGATACTCCCCATCCCCACTGCAAACCAGTCACTATAACAGCAAGGCACTGGATAACCATGCTGTGAGGAGCCCTCTGACACTATCCTCTGGATTTAGATGCAAGTACAAGAATAAGAGAGGATTTTATTGGGTTTTAATGCTGGGAAAAATGAACAGTCAATACTTGGCAAGGAGCAAGACCTCAGCACCCTGGGCATGACCCCTCAGGGATGTCCAGTACTGTTCAGGGGCCCAAAATCCCTCAGGGTTCCCTGGATTTTCCCCTTCCATCCCCTCAGAGACCCCTGCATCATCTTGGGAACAGCCCCCTATGCTTTCCAAGCTTTTCCATCCCCTCAGGGACCCCCAGACCTCCCCCTCATTCCCTCTGGGCCTCCCAAACATGTTCTTCTATCTATCTGCTCAGTGACCAGGGGCCTCCAGTGCCTCACAGATTCCCTCACAGAAATGGCTCCTCCATCCCCTCAGGGACTCTGAGACCCACCATCCTTCCCCTCAGGGACCCCTGCCCATGGCACTTACACCCTCAGGGACCCCCCCCCATCCCCTCGGGGACTCTGAGACCCACCATCCATCCCCTCAGGGACCTTCAGCCACAGCACTTATCCCCTCGGGGACTCCTCATCCCCTCAGGGACCCCTGCCTATGGCACTTACCCCCTCAGGGACCCCCCATTGCCTCAGGGACCCCC